TGTTGCAAGCCCCGTATGACAGGCCTAGAAAAGAAGGCCTGGACGTCACGTTACCCGAAGCAGGAAACAAGGTTTTTGCCATGAGTTGCGCTAATTGCTTATTCTCATGGCTGAGAGCAAGCCACTCTTTTTCGACAGCACCGCCTCACTTCCCCAAGGCGAATCGTTCCAGCTCGCTGGATATGTAGGCTGTTATGTGTTTTGGACGGTCCCCATCGCTTTCGCAGGTTGTGGGTTTCAGCTTGGTTTGGTCCCCTATCGGTTTCCGGCAACCTTGACTCTGATTACTATGGGGGCCTTGTTTTTTGAATTGCTTAAACAGTTCCATCACACTTGCTGTTGCTCAGGGAATGTGGGAATGAACCCAGGGAAGCACCCTTGTGGTCTATAAGGGTCAGTGCATTTGCTTCCATTTGCCTAAGAATATTTGTTATTTCCCCTGTTGGTTTCAAAAGGAATTTATCACTACTGGAATTATTTTTTGATTTTTCCCAGGGGTCGAAAAACCCAATGGAAGAAAAGGGGTCATAACCCCTTGATTTTGGTTAATGACCCCATTCTTTCAAGGGTCATGGAGACCCTGGTAGAGTTCCTCTGTCATCTGCATCTCTGGCACCATGGGCATTGACGAAAGCTTAGGTGCGTGGCTCGCCGCTCGGCCGTGGACCAGCGAAGAGGGTAGCTGACCTGAGGGTCACGGACTTGCTTGATGTAAACATGGTTGTTGTTGGGAAAGATTTTACATTTTTGCTTATTGTGGTTTAGTGCTTGAAATCAAACCACTTAACTGCTAAAATATATTTTTTTGCTCCCCTTCCAACATCAGCCAAGTAAATGATTGCCAACTAGGGCGTATGGTCCTATGATACTGGATTTGGTTTTAAAGTACCCCAGACCCCCGTTCTACTTCCAAAGACAGCCAGATCAATGGAGTGTTGACGTCAAATTTCGGGCCATGGATGAGGTTCCTCTTGGTCAGGTGATATTGATTGGGACTTGTTGTGCACCCTGCTGGACAGTAGCGCCCGAAACCCCTCTCAGCTGTTTGAGTGGGTGTACCTGTACGAGAAGGATTCTAGTGATGGCTATAGAAGTTTCTCTGACCATCGGGGTAGAGCAAGTTTCTTCTTAAGCATGGTCTTCCTTTTGCAATTCACAACACTGCTGCCGCACGATGTGGCTCCCAAGATCTTGGAAACGAGCCTCGCTGTGCAGATGTTTTCCTTTGGTTTGGGGTGATTTCACGCTCAGGCCGCCCAGTGAAAGTTGCCAGGGTTTCACGTTGGGTGGGTATCAAGCCACTCGACTGGGGTTACCAGCAAAGATGAGAGACTATGTTGAGCCTCACTAGGTCTCCCAGTAGTGCCCTTTTACTCTTTTTGGGGGGGGAGGAGGGTTCCTCTACAGTGACTACAGAAAAAGCATCGGGTACCCTTATTCTAACCCCTCTGGAGGACCTGGCTCATGTCACAACCTGGGACTCCATGGGCTTGGGTCAGGCTAGACCCGGCCGCGTGAATGCGAAGAAACGCTCCTTCGGGTCAAGCCGCTTAAAAGACTTCCGGGAGAGAAGGTGGTTCGCGGGAGAAGGTGGTTCTAGGTGACCAAACTGCGTGGATTGACCACGCATCCAGAGATTAGATAAAGTCTCAACCGGGCCGGAATGGAAATCAACCGATGCGTAGAAAATGGGTCCCGGAGGTCCATGTCGCCATGCCCTAAAACACGTCAAGCTGTTTATTTGTTCGGTTCATGGCCCACCTGTTTTTTGTGTGGTTTGCCATTCAAAGGAAGCCAAGGGAAGCCATGGCATTCTGGGTTCCTTTTCTCCACTGGGTGGGGCTCCCAAAGGTGGACAAAGTGGAGCCTTTGGCCAGGAGTATCCATGTGAAGCATCTAGTTTTTTGCAAGGTGGCGGTGAGTTTTTTGTTTTTCAAACATGATGTTGTTGTTTTTTCTGTTTGGATCCAAGCCGCGCACGAAGGGCCAAATGTTGGGCCTAAAGATCGGAAGCAGAATCGGGGAGCACCATCCTGGGCGTACCCGCCAGCCATCCTTTGCAAATTTAACACGGCGAGGTTGGTTCAGTTTTCGTTTTGCATTTAAGGGCTAAGGGGAATTTGCCAAAACTGTCGTTTCTGCTGGCGTATGTGTGTGGCACCTTCAGCAAATGAGATCTCGGGCCTAAGCTCTAGTCTTTTCTGTTGTTGGTCAGGGCCTGCAAAGTAGCCAACAATTTGCTTTGTTCAGCGTGCCCGGAACACTACGTGTTGAAATGATTGCAGCTATTTTCTACACTCGTCACTGGTTGCAACTAAAGTGTCACCCCCTCCCGCTTGCTTGCTGAGGGCAGCAGCCGAAAGAGGACGGGGAATTTCGGCATGGACTCTAGTCACTTTTTGGAAAAGCCAACTTTTACCAAGTTAAGTTTTTTGTTGGCCAATGGAGTTATCAGTTTCTGTACCCAAACAGCATGTGCGTCTGTTTTGGAAGGTGCTAGTACCCCTGTGGTTGCTAACGAAAACCAATGAACAGTGGCAAGCAGGGCTCTCCTGCAGTTACGTTCTTTGGGTACCCAGCTCCGAGCCGTTCCTAAAAGATGGCCTGGGACGCATTGATTGCAACGAGCAAGACGAGCTGCAGCCACTGCCGTTTGAGGCAATTTTCGGGTGCACTCCTTTGCCAGGCTGTCTTTCAAGGGGGTCTCTTTCAGGATGCGGTGGCTCCTCACCCTGCGCGTATTCTGGGTCACGTACCCGTAGGTTTCCCCCCCCTCCCCCCCAGCCGCACGCGGTGGCATTGCACGTTCCTTCCCTGGGTGTTCTGTTGGCTTCTGTGTGTTATAACGTCCAACATGTGAGAACCCCTAGAAATTTTGCGAGTAGGCCGTTCACAGACTTTGGTGTATTATAGTGTTTCTTGGAGAGAGTCCACCATCTCACCCGTGCGACTGAAATGGGAGCGCCATCTTTTGAGCGAAGTTGTCCTTTGTGCGCATCCTTGTTGTGGGGAGTCCACCGACTTGCACCTCCGTTCATGGCAATCTGAAGAATAGGCTGCACTATTTGGGATCGGGGTCATTCTCATGATTACGCATGCGGCATGGCGACCTCACAAAGGATTTTGGTTTGCGACCACACCCATGAAGGTTTTTTTCATGGGCTGGGGAACCCATATTTGGCCCAACTGTGAATACCTACCAAAGCTCGGAAGCAACTAAACTGTAGTTGGAGACCTTTCCCTTCCTGTCACGCCCTGAGCACAGCACGCCTTTGTTTTCCGCGACGATTTTTCCCAGAATCACCCAAGATTCGGCAAGCCGTGGCACGAGCTGACTCATTCGGGCATCTTGCGCCCGGCAGAGAGGCTTTGACGCGCGAGCGTTGCGAACGCCGGGCCGGATTGCCGCGGATGGACTGTCTTTCTGCGCTCCGCTGCGCAGAGGATCGGCGCCCCGAAGTGGTGTCCCGTGGCGGCTTCCTGGCACAAAGATGGAGCTGATCGTCGCGCGTCACTATCGATTTTTGAGGGTCGACCCCATGGGCCCGTCTCCAAGACCGCTCCGAACCCGCGTCGCGACAGAGGTGGTTTGCGCACATGCCGAAGAACTGAACTCACGCACAGGGGCCATAGTTTCTGTTTTCGTCATTTTCAGCTCTTGCTTGCACAGCCATATCTATCTCTCTCTATATAATATATATATATATATATATATATGAGGGCCGTCCTAAAACCCCAGTCTTCGGTTTTAATTATCGCCGAACAGGGAGAAGTAAAAGTTGTCAAAAGCTGTGCGCGCGCAAGGAGCGCGCAAGTGCGGCCCAAGGGACGCGCAAGGTTACATACAGTTTTGAAGGGTTTCATGTACTGATGTTGCCTAGCTTCATGAAAGGAGGTGATATTTTCCTGCTGTACTTGTGCCTTTCGAATCAGTCAGACGCCAAACGAAGCCAAAGCTTCTGCGGTCATGACTTCAACAATCAGCAATTGAGACGACAAAATCCGCGCAAGCCGCGCGCAAGCCGCGCGCAAGTTGCGCGCAAGCACGAGAAGCCCCAGCAAGACATCTAGCCATGCTGTCTCGGATGTCCTTAGCGGCGCGGTTCAAGCAATGGATAGGCACCCGCAACATGCACTTTCTTTCTTTCAGGCTGTGTCCAAGCTGTGTGGCAGAGCCTGCTGTTCTTTCTGTTGGGTCAAGGGTACTGTTGCTGGCATTGAATTGCCGGGAGCGACCTCAGCGGGAAAAGTCTTTGTGGGTTGCTGTGTGAACGACAAACACACTGCTTAGAAAAGCTTGCGCGCAATCCACACGAAAACTTCGCAAACCGAGGTCAACGAAAACGAGTTTCTGCGCCACTGTGCGCGCGCAAGTACGCGCAAGTGCCGCGCAAGTGCGGCCCAAGGGCCCAATCGCGGGCAAAGGAATATAGGACAACCCCCATATATACTGCATAGACTTCGACACACGCATGCGACCATGTTCGGAAATAGTAGCGTCAACCATCAGCAGGATCCATTTCCAGGGGTGCTCGCTCAAAGGGGAACACAAGCTTTTGACATTGGATGGTAGTTGTGGGTCCTGGAATTTCCAACGAGTATTATGTTCTTGTATCGATTTGTCCCTTGGTTTCAAAACGCAAACACCCGCATGTCTTTTTTCAGGCCTCGGCAGCGACGAACGCAAATGGCCGCACGACGCCCATGAAAAGCCGCACAATGTCCGCAACAAGAAATCAAAAAGGCACACATCCTCTCAAAATGCCTAAATTTCAGTAAACTCGTCTTAGGTCGTGAAACGCCCGGAAAAACGTACGTACGCACAGGAAGGTCCTTAGGATATAGATATTTTCAGGCGGGCTCCAATCTTGGGCATGCGCTTTTCATCAGGCGGCGCCGCAGCCGGGATTCTCAGAAACAAACTCGGGCCGTTTTGGTTGAGGCAAGCTTTGGTGTCAAAGGGACACCAAGATGAATCTGTTTGTTTTGATAGGGGATGCCTTTTTCGACAGTCGGAACTTGAAAAGGCTGGTCGAAAATAGGTACCCAAAATACGTTGGCCTAAAGTGGAAGGACATGTGTTGCGTAGCCCGCTCGCCTTGGATAATTTTCCTGAGACTAAGGCTCGAGCACCGAGCCGCCAGTGAGCAGGCGCTGGCAGCTTCCGAGAGGTGAATGCGATTCTAGGTCCAGTAGTCCCCTTTTGCCCTTCTTTTGGGGGAGGATTCCCCTGCAAAAATAGATTGCAAAAAGAAGGGTACCCTTATTCTAACCTCTCTTCTGGATTCTGGAGGACCTAGGAAACAAGTGCCCCGGGGTGCCATCTGATATCTCACTTCTAAGCTCGTTGCTTCCTGCAGCAACGCGGCGCCTGCTAGGAATCAACGCAGTTGGGCATCGGTTTTGAGGGACAATGGTCCACATTTTCGTGGCGAGGGTAAACAGGTAAACTCGCAAAGGTATAAGTTTCAATTGGGCATCGTTCCCACTAAGGTTTGCGCCCGCCGATCGGCTTCCTATCCCAAGTCACATTGACGACATCTTGTGTAAGCTTGTGAGAACTGGGAACACGACTGCGAAGGCACACATCATCATTTGGAGCGTCTCGTGCTGTGAAACCCTGAGCTGAGGAGGTCTCTCATGGCTCGCGAGAGTTATAGTTTGGCGGCAGTTGCTAGATGGAAATCACTTGCGTGAAGCCCTGGAGGCAGGGATCTCCGCATGTCCCAAATCCCAAAGCGGACTTCGCGTAGTAGACATGACCTTCAAGATCCCAGAGGCCCTTCAGCTCGTCTTTCCTCAGACGCGCCGCGGAGTCTGTGCGTTGAATTTGCGTGTGCATGTTTTGTATCTATAATTAGTCAACATGGTCTCGCATAGGCGTGTTTGTCGGAGTTGTTTTTCACAAGTGAGACTGGCTCACACCACCAACAAAAGCAACGTCTTTCCAAACTCTTTGTGAACAGCCCGGGGATACTGGTGGTCAAATTGAGCCACAATTATGTTTGTTGTTTCTTCCCGTTCTTCCCGCAACACGTCAGGATAACATCAACGCATGGGTGATAACATCGATGCTGCAACTTCCCACTCAGACTGATCCATGTTGAGCGCAACCATGACACGCACTGGGGGGGGCCGGAGTGTGGTGCTTGGCAGCGTTTCCAGGGAACGCCGACGGAGGAGACGTCAGGAGAGGGTGTTTAGCCTGATTCGCCTCTGTTCAAAGTGGACCATCCTCTAAAAGCCGGGGTTTATGTCCTGTTGACTGCACTCTTTTTCTGCTTCTCTTAAAGGATCATGCGTCATGCGTGTGTGTGTGTGTGTGGAAATCCTCTAAGAGAGCAGGCCTTTGTGCCTTTTGGTTCAGCTTTGGTCGGAATTGGGGAAAGTGTTTTGGGTGAATGGTCCATTAGCCAAGCTACTGGCAAAGGGCGGGTCAGTCCGGCAGCCTGGCGCTAACTGCCCTTCCTGGCTATTTGGTTAGATCTCCGCCCTTTACCTCGAGGAAATGTGAGTTTGCGCACTTCAGACAAACAGTTCAGCCTGTTGGTGCAGGGGGCAAGATTGACCTTGCCAGAAAAGGTGAACCTGTCCATCCTTTTAACTCTTGCTGCCTCTTCGTGGGGTAACGGCGTTACGCCAGCTTGATAAATACGCTACCAACGTTTGAGATGATGCCCATGACGGACTTCGGTTGGCCACATGATATGGTGGACCTCTCAAATTTGTGTGTTTTGTCCTCTTTTTATTTGTCAACAACCTGGAAAGGATATATTGGATCATGTCTCTATGTATATATATATATATATAATTGACGAATTGTAGCCTATATACACTCCCTGGCAAACTAATATGGAACGGAGCAGCTCAATATTTTGAGCGGAAGCTCCATTTGGAGCCCTTTTTCGGGTTGCACCCTTGGAGTTTTGTTTGACAGGACACGCCAGACTTCACCAAGATGACCTACGAGGAGTACGCCCGGGCCGCAGCTGCCGGGGGCATGTTGATCAGCCGCCCTGTTTCTCAGCGGCAGCTGCTGGGGTGGGTTCAATCTGAAGAAACAACGGTCCTTTTTACGCCTTTGCAACAAACAGGCAAACTGTACATCTTGGCCTTTTTGAATCAACCAATGAATAAGCTTCTCTCTTGAGTCAAGCAACGGGAATAGTACGCTTGCTTCCCCTTGTGGCATTTCAGAGGATGTGTTTTTTTTCTTTTCGCGAGGTGTCTGTTGCATTTCGCTGGCACGGAACATGGAGGCACAGAACGAAGCTCGTGCAATGAGCCTTCCCCACGGTACCATGCCACGGGAGAAGTTTGAGCGGCTGGGCACGATGGCTTTTGGGAAAGCAAGGTGCCCAATTTGTTTTGCTCAGGTGGCTTTCCCATGGGTCGCAGTACCTTCTCATTTTGTGAGAAGGCACGCTTTTCTGGAAGATCCCAAACGTCCACTTCCATCTTAGGGAAAAGGGGCAGCATGAGGGCTAAACAATTATCGTACCGTACAGGGTACGTTTCACCTCGAGTGTTAGCACAAATAAGCTATTCTGACAGTATGCAGGAACTGCTCCATTTCAGAACCCTCTGCATTCTCATCCAGCAACCGCTCCCCCGCATTTTGATTTGGAACCTTCCGGAACCCGAATGCAGGCACCGCTCTGGAACTCAGCCACCGCTTTTCCAAGAACGGTCGGAACTCTCAGGAACCCTCCCCAAGCCTATCTAGCCACCACTGCATGGAACCCCGCAGCTTGGAAAGGCTCCGGACTCCGCCAAAGTTTTCAGCTGTGGGTGCATATGACTGAAACACGAAAGCCCAAAGGGTACTTTCAACAAGTTGCCAGCTCATCCCCTCAAGCAGTGAAGCAGTGGGGATCAAAATGACCACTCGGCCGCGTGGTGGAGTTGGCGTCAGGTGCAGTGGTGGAAGAAGACGCATCCGGAGGCTCCGAGCGCGGCAACAGCGCTGGGGCCTGAGCTGGTGGGTTGGGGGGGGGGGGGCTGGGAACCAAGTTGAGCCCCATGCCCATTTCGGATGTTTGGAAAACAAAGGCAAGGATGGCGACGTACTTGCCCAGTGTAGAACCCTCTACCCCTGAGCATGTGCCCAAGAAAGGCAAGGCTTGGCTGCGCAGAGCCATGCCAGGGACGATACCGAGACCGAGACCCAAAAGCAGACCAAATTAACAGATTCGACTGAAGGCTGTCCAGGCCACAATGGGAGAGGCCTTGGTGTTGCGCTTTCCCAGGGAGAAAGTGTGAGCGTCATACTCTCAACACTGTGGATAGATTTACTAGGTGCCCCAGTAGTGCCCTTTGACCCTTTTTTTGGGGGAGGGTTCGCCTACTAAACTAGACTACGAAAAAACCAAAAAAAGAGAAACACACAATCGGGTACCCTTATTCTAACCTCTCTACTGGAGCACCTAGTTTAGGTCTAAACAGCCCTAGCCTCATGGAACTTGGGACCCCGGCAAACCAGTCCCACACCATTCTGCGGCCACTCGGATGCTTCCGAGGCAGGTGGCAGAGCCAGCGGTGCCCCAAGCCATGCGGTTCGAGCGTACACTTCGCCCCGGGAGATCGACCAAGGAGGGGGTTCTGGAAGCGCCTTATGTAATCCCATTGAGTTTGGGGCTAGTCACAACCCTCTTCGCAGGTGAAGTGTGTGAATCATTCCACTCACCCAGACTTACCGGTTCTTTGGTTATTCTCTACCTAGTATGACCGACCATGTGTTTGTTTCCTGTCGACCTATGAGCTGTGGTTCAAGTTTGCCCCTTCAAAAAGCCCGCTTTGGCCAGCGGACTGCTCCAAAGCCACAATTCCATTGGTATCCTCCCCATTCTCTTCAGGGATCCTTCTCTTCAACAAATGGGCCAAACACCTGGAAAAAAGGTGATTTCTAAAGAGAACGATGGGTGAAGAGAATGGGGAATCAAACCTTCGAACAATCATGTCTCAACCGGAAATAGCGGCAAACGGCTCTCTTTTCATTTCCCAGGTTTCAGGTTTCAGTCACCAAACTTAGTGCCGGGCTTTCTGAGTGAAATGGTTTCTGGCCACAAGGCTTTCACCAGAACTCGATAGTTTGCGGGGAAGCCCTGTTTTGGCATGTAAATCGAAGTTGGAAAATGGGCTTTGGCGTGAAACATACACAGAAGAGCTTGCTTGGCACTCCTGCTTCTCCTGTTTGCAGCGTAAATGGAGCTGCGGTTGAATGAGCCAAATCCAAAGCCTGCCACTTGCATGGAGGAGGGGGGAAGCATATCTAATCGCAAGGACGGAGGCCTTCCGCATTGATCCGCGGGTTTTGGTGAGGACTCCATGAAATCGCACCTTTTTCTCAAAAGTTGAACGACACGGCAGACTCGGCAGACACGTTTAAATGGTTGATTAACTTTTCGTTTTTGGTTGAGAACACGCTCAAACAGTGCCCCTTCAATAGACCGATCTGCGCGCTTAAGACTACAGTACTGCAATCCATGCCGGCTCTATACCAGGTGAGCTAGGGACACAGGCACTTGCCACGAGTTTGACAGTTTTACCCATTCTGATTTCTACGCTGCCGTTGGGTAGTCATTATGCTTCCCGGCACCTGCCATTGCTATGCCTGCGCTTGCCACTCAAATTTGAGTTAGTCCCCATTTGAGTTGGTATTCAACGTTTGCTTTGACTAGGACGAAGCGGGGAATCAAGTGGAAACCAACCATTTGTATATATGGGCTTGTCCTTTTTTGGTGTGTTGAGTTGCTTCAAAAGGCAGAAGGTGGGACCTCCCCGAATCATACCCCCGAATCATACCCCCGAATCATACCCCGAATCATACCCCCGAATCATACCCCTTAAAACGTATGCTGCAAGATGCTACTGTTCTTCTACCGTTTTGTGTTGTTCACTGTCTCCACAACAACCAACCACCAGCGCTACTCAATACTACCACTGCCACTGCCACTGCCACTACTACTACTACTACTGCTACTACTACTACTAGTACTACTACTCCAATTACTACTACTACTGCTACTACCACTACTACTACTACTACTACTACTACCACTACTACTACTACTGCTACTGCCGCGACTACGCGTATTACTACCACTACCACCGCTACTACCGCTGCTACTACTACTCTACTGCTTCCTGCTTCTGCTACCCTTACTACTAACTACTACGACTACAACCTTGACAACAACTACTACTACTACTACTACTACTACTACTACGACTACTACCTTTATTTCTACTACTACTACTACTACGACTACAACCTTGACTACTACTACTACTACTACTACTACTACTACTACTACTACTACTACTACTACTACTACTACTACGTCTACAACCTTGACTACTACTACTACTACTACTACCTCTACTACTACTACTATTCCTGCTTCTGCTGCTGCTGCTGCTACTACTCACTACTACCACATACATCATTCTGAGTCTGTAACCAGTGCCGTTTTGCACCTAGCCGAATCATACCCGCGAATCATACCCGAATCATACCCGGACAATGGGCTTCCCCTGCCAAGGCTAGTGCTAAGTCTTTTTCACAGCTTCCGCGCCACTACAGTCGCTGCTTCTACTGTTGCTACTACTACTACTACTACTACTACTCCTACTCTACTACTACTCCTACTACTACTACTACTATTGCTACTACTACAATATTGCTACTAGTACTACTACTTCGGCGACTATGCTGCTGCTTCCGCGAATCATACCCCCGAATCATACCCCGAATCATACCCGCGAATCATACCTGCGAATCATACCCCGTACTCAAACCTTCCTGCCCGACCACCCTAAAAAAATACAAGCCCTAATATGTCTCTTCTGTCAGGAAGCACTCAAATGGGCTACCTACACGTGTAGGTTCTTCGTTGAGGTTGTCAGTCCTCCCACAGAAAAGAAGGCATGCCCACCCAGATTTGCCGGAGCGCATCGCATCTCCTTCGCTCAGGTTGTCAAAGCAAGCGCGCGAGCTCAGCCGAAGTTTTTTAGGTTATGAGGCTTTCCAATCTGGTGCATGGACAGCAACGTTCGTGTGTAGAGATCGCCAGGCCTGCACAGGGAGCACCTCTTGGATTCGTGGGACCCCCTTCAGCATTTGTTGCTTTCTTATATTCTCGAAAGGGTTGGGCAAAGACCCTGGCCACCATTAACATCTTTTACAGGAATAAGGGGTCTTGTCTGGGAGGGGTCTATCCAGAGATGTGAGTCTGCAAATTTGTTGGAAAGCATTCGAACAAATACAGAGTTTGGAACCGTTTGGGCTACACTGGTTGCTTGCTTTTTTTGCCAATCATGCCCCAGCCGCCAGTAGCCAGCAAGCATGGAAGACGACCCCAAACGAAGGGCACAACCAGTCACCTGGTGTCTGTACCGCGGAAGTTCCTTCTACGCTTCCTTGAGAGCCCAAGAAACACTCCCCCCAGAGCCCAAATGAATTGGAGCTTAGACTTAGATGTTCCTGATTTTCCTGACTGTGTTTGTTAATTTGTAGATTTTCCTGATTTGGCTTCATGGTTGTGAATGTGTTGAATGTTTTTTGAATATGTCTGAATGTTTCTGAATGCTGCTGAATGTGTTTTGAATGTTTTGCATGTTTCTAAAGGTTCGGCAAAACAGGGTGCAACTAGGGTTCCCTTTCAGGTATGTGTGGCCTGATGAAGAGCCTCCTGCAGAGTGGCAATGAGCTGTTTTACCCATACAACACTCAGTTGTTTAAACCTTTTGACCTTTTGGTTTTCCAATTTTGGTCTACTTTTAGTAGAGGTCCCAACAGGTTAACCTTTTATTTCCAGGTCCTGAGAACACACTTACTCAAACAAGTTTGGGTGGGGAACTGGTCCTGAGAAGTGAGCGCAGGCGCAAGTAAGTTGGGAGCAGGGACAGTGCTTGTCTCTTCTGGCAGCATGGGGGTTGGGTCTATGTGGCCGCCTTTGATGGGTCCTGGGTTTCGTCGAATGCCGAATTGTGTTGAATGTTGACGAACGCTTTGGACATGGTCTGCATGAAGCCGCATGTTCAGCTGTTTCTTGGGCTTGCATACAGGTGCATGTATGTTTTTGCATTGGGCGCATTTGCTGAACAGGGCCCCTAACCCAAGAATTGACAAAGGGAAGACAAGAGAGACGGCGGTTTTTTACGCTACTCGTGGCTAAATTGTGCCTAAAAGTTTGGGGGTTGGCCTAGCCGAGCTCTGCAGTCGTTCTTCTCTCTCAGGCACTGGCGACGCCCTGTGGAACTGCAAGGAGGCATGGCAAGAGCGATTTCTCGAGGACGGAACTCGAGATCAGTACAGCCTACGGTGCCCTTCAACCATTTTTTTTGGGAGGTTTTCCCTACTAAAATAGACTACAGAAAGAAGGGCACCCTCATCCCTCATTCTAACCTGTCTACTGGAGGACCTAGTAGCTGTTCTTGTTCGCTCACTTTGAGCATAGCTCGCACTTCATCTAGTCCCATTGACGCCTTGACCTGGTTGTGCAGAGTTTGGCTTGTTTGCTTCTACGAAACGGTTTGGATCCGCTTGCGGTGGATTCCACCTAGGGGTGGGTCCACACAAGCGACATCCAACCATTTTCCAGACTGTTGGTTTCTTTGATTCTGGATCTTTGATTTGCTTAAGAATATGTATGATTTTTCCTTGTTGGTTTTAAACATATTGTTTTCACTACTGGATGTTTTTTTGGTTTTTTTTTTTCCAGGGGTCGAACAACCAAATGGAAGTGATGTCTAGCATGTTCCGTCTCGGTTCTTTGCTTGGAACGCATCGATGGCCAGGAAAACTCCACGGAAGTCTGAAAGTCGGTCCTTGGAAGGCATCGATTTCCAGGAGAAGTCCAGGCCCCATAGAAGTCTAAACCGTTGGCTTTGCTTTTTTGGGTTTCTGAAGATCTTAAGCATGTGCTCGTTTGGTTGAAGCTGGAGACCACTTCACGCACGGCAATTTTTTTTGAAGCCAGGCCCGAGCCCCAAAAGGAGGGAACTAGCAGGTGTTTGTTCAAAGTTGAAGCTGGTGTTGACATGCAGGGGGGTCTTTTTGCCACCTTTTGTGAGGGGGTCGATCAATTTTCCACAAAAAGATGGATGCTGTTGCAGGTGGCAGTGACGGTGCAAGCGCAGGCATCGGAAGTTCAACCGATGCTATGGGTGGGGGCTGAAGTCCCTGATTCTGCACCAAGCATATTACCCCCCCACCAACTGACATGGAAGCCTATAGACCCCCATAAGAAGATCACTGTCCTCTTGGCAAAGGGCTTTGTGCACTTCCACGTTTGCGGGAGGATAGGCCCCTAAAACCGTGTGATTCTTCGAACGTCCATGGCAGTCGGTGGAGGCATTGCTTCCACGTTTTTTGTCGGATGGTTTGGCAGGGGAGCGGCGTCGAGAAGGAGACCATCATAAACTGACCATCTGAAGGGATCCCCCGAATTGTACGAAGCTCTGTGAGCGCCAAGGTCGGGGGCTTTTTGAAGGGTTCCTGCTGGGAAGCATGTATGGATGTGGAAATCGCAATGGGATGGTAGCCTCCAAAATGAATATTTCCGAGTGTCCCGACCAAGAAGAGGATGTCCTTGAAACAGCACACTTACGTTGTCGTATATGTCTTTTAAAGGAACCAAACGCAGTACATGTGGCGGAATCGATTTGTTCCCCGAGACATTCCTATGTGCACCCCAGATGCTCACGTCGTGATGTCCACAACGGGTGCGGCGCAAATTGAGATTGGGTCTAGGGCATGTCAATCACGTAGTTCAGGGAAGCATGTCATGTTTACGCATGTGTGAGCACACATGCAGCGATACAACCTCCGTACTTGCGAATCAACATTCAACGGGCCTTTGCTATTTGCGCATCTACCTCCGATATGTGTCTCCCTTACACCTATGTTTGCAGGGATCCGGGAGAAGCAGGACATGTTTATTTTCTTCGAATGCTTATTTTTGCTACCCAGTTTTTTGGCTCCCCTTCTCCATTGGGATTCCTGCCCGCTACCCGGGCAATTCCTCTTGCCCGACATCTTGAATCTGGGCGAATTCTGGCAACCCGTGTTTGCAACCTCCCCAAGGATGAGGATTCCTGCGAGACCCCTGGCGGGTGGGTGAAGGACTTCCAAGAAACCTGCTCCCGGGAAGTTTTGGGCTTGGAGTTTAAAGTGACATCCTCGAATTCACGCTCTGAACCAGGTTTGCTTTCCCTTGGACACCTCCAAAGCTGCTCATGATCTTTCAGAGACCAAGTGTTAGCCCACGGTCAGGTGCCCTCGAGTGGTGAGCTTAGAGACAGCTTCGCAGATTCCGGCAGGCATCCCCGCCAATGATGTAAGTTGGGAGGTGTCCTCTTGGATCATCCCAAGCTATTCATCCAAAGGATTTCCTCCAATTTGTTTGGAGTCCCCCTCAGATCTGTTGGACACATGTTCCAGAGTGACCCCACAAATAGTCATACAATCATATGCGATCGCCCATGCTTTAGGCATGGATTTCAACATGATTGTTTGTTTTGCAGGACATGTGGCATGGGAGCTACACGCAGTGGGCCAGATCTTGCGTGGATTTGCGGAACGGGCTATTGCTTTTCCTCCAAATCAGAGTAATTGATCTCAAAGAGCGCGTCCTTTCCAGATTATTTTGTTTCAAAGTGCCGTGGATTCTGGGGGCTTGCGAGTTCTTGCAGCCACTCGATGTTTGCGTTTCCTGGACCCGAAACTTTTTTAATCCTTGATATGCGTTTCTTTCACGAGCTCATGCAACAAAAGACGCTCACTTATCTTGTGCAGTGACCATGAAGTATGACGTCACGTGCAGGCAGGTTTTGGGACCTTGGGGACAGCCCTTTCTTCCCCTCGCTGCTTTTTCTCCATCCAAACAGGTCTTGGCGGAAGTTTGTTCACGTTGTTTGTTGAGATCCCAGCAGTTTTGGGGTTTACCAGGAACTCTTCTGCGGCAGTTGGAAGGGGCAATAAGAATCCAAATACGTTTAGACATTGTTCTACTGCCATGACTTCATTTGGTTGTAAAATATCCGGCCCCCTCCCCACTCGATTAATTTGCAAATTCTGATTTGGGGTCGGCCTCACCGTCGACCTAGGACCTAAGCGGAAGAAGAAGAAGGACAAGGCGGCCTTCATGGTTGTTGTTGGGAAACATTTTTCATTTTTGCTTATTGTGGTTTAGTGGTTGAAATCAACCACTTAACTTTTTTTGCTCCCTTTCCAACGTCATGAGGCACGCTGACCGAGATCACTTGATTTCAGCACCTATACTTCCATGACCTGGCAAGAGGTGATTCAGAGGTGGAGGTGCTATTTAATTATATACCAGGTTTTAGCGAGACCACGCGGCTGGACGTGGTTTTTCAGCGGACCCAACGCGTGTGTGAGTGTGTGTGTGTGTGAGTGTGTGTGTGTGTGTGTGTGTGCGCGTTTCTGTGTTTCTGTGTTTCTGCGTTTCTTCGTTTCTGCGATTGTGTTTTTTGTGTTTTTGTGCTTTTGTGCTTTTGTGCTTTTGTCCTTTAGTGTGTTTGTGTGTTTGTGTGTATGTTTTGAGAGTGCCCTTTTCTGAAGGGAAACCAGAAGGAACGCCAAAGCCGCATTGTGGACCCATGCCCTATATTGACACACCCATGGGAGATCACCTTTGAATTCTTCCATTTTTCAGCGCCGAGTCTACTCCACACTTCCCCTGAACAACCGCTGAGGCCACCCCTCATTCCTTCGGATAACCACAAGGGTACGCAGCATGCGTTGCGTAGGCAGCCGCCATCCCTGCCGCCGTGCAGGCGTGGATGGCAGGAAAAAGGGGAGATTTGGAGTTGGCCCTCTGGCTTAGATTTAGGCCATGGCTGGGGAACATAGGGTTCTGCGTTTTACTGGCTACTGTGATACCAAGGGAATTACCTTCGAAGCGGTAAGTAGTCGTGGGGAAGCCACATTAACATCACAGATGTTTGTGAGTTGTGTTTGCTTCGACTTGCGCTGACTTCCTGACGGCTCTGCGTCCAATGCAAAGTCTTGCCTGAAATGCTGGTGGTACCTTACCGAGTTTGGTGTAGCGAGGACTGCCTTGGTTGCCGCTACAAGGTTCAACAAAAGCACGGTTTCGTAGGACCAAGCAGCCCGGCAGCCTGTCTAGAAAGGACGACGTGTTATATGTATGCATGTTCAGGCTCTTAGTAGCAGAACGAACAGGCTAACGAGCGCGAGGCAAAGCGAAGACCTGCATGAAACAAGGAAATCAGACGTCGAGCTTGCAAGGAGCCAACAACTTAGGATGAGGCACACAGTTTGACTGATGTTGTGCGGCAAGTCACTCAATCCAGGATGGTCTGGAAGCTTATTTCCTGTAACAACAGTCTTGTTTTTTGCGCGTTTGAAGTCTTGACGTGTACCAAGGTCATGACTGAACAACATAAGACAACAACTGATCAGACTTCAGACATCGGACAGTCAGTATGATCTGAAGGTGTTGGCCCACCCTTCTGCCAGGTTCAGGTGGCTCCAGCCGTTCAGGCGGCTCCAGCCGTTCAGGCGGCTCCAGCCGTTCAGGCGGCTCCAGCCGTTCAGGCCAGGGCATCGACCTGTGGGCTTAGTGTCACTTTGAGGCGACCCCACAAAGGCTCCAGCAGCTCCCCTGATAAACAGAAAACCCCTATTAAATCATGTAGTGTAGACAAAGTGGCCCCTGTTTTGGTTCACTGTTAGTTTGCAAGAGGAATACAAGGTCAACCTTTCAATTGAGGATATCGAACCGATTGCTTGGGACCCAATGGGACCAGCCGCCGATGTTTTTGTTTGCGGGATGCAGTCCAAAGCGAGACTCTCCAGCCTTTGTGGGCAATGACCTTGTGCCACTGTGATTGAGCAAAATCCTTCCCCAGTTCGGATGGATGAGACCCTATGAACAATTACTGCGACGAACCGCCAACTAGTGCCGGATTTTGTCTTTGAACTGGGTCGTGGAGTACTACGAAATCAATCTCTGTCACAACATGACAGCAAGGTTCATCATGATTTTGCCCCTTCTCTAACCCTTTGATGTTCACGCTGAGGCATTGGCGTATGTTTGAGGCTTGGAGCCCTTGCTGTGGTTGTCTCAATAGGACACCAAATTGACACCTCCCATTTGGAGGTTTTCCATTTGTTAGTTTGGAGACACAGCCAAAATAGGATCCCCAAGTCTGAGCGCCTTCTTGATCGTCGGGCATATGTGCCATTCCTGGGCCCATGAGCGAGGGTCAAAACCCGGAGTGCAGCTTAAGACAGTCCCGGCCATTCGGTTTGGATATCCCTTTGCTCGGATGTTAGGACTTTGACTTTTTGCCAACCAATGGGTTTTCCGTATTAAACCACTAAAACTTTTAGGGGAGCAGATTTCGCAACCAAGATTCAGTTTGACTGGCCATGAAACTTGGGTAATAGACCCCATGCACTGGGGTGCCAACCGAGTTTCGGATAGGGCGTCCATCAAACTTTGGCACCCTGGCTGCTTGGTTTTTCCCTAAATGAGTCTCACTTTGGTGGTCTCCCAGGTCCATCAGAAACCTTCGGGGAAGTGGCGCTTGTCATTGCTGTTTTCTTTTCTGTATGCTGAAGTTGTTGGCAGAAGAAAAAACAAGTGTGCCCTTTCATGCGCAATGCCCCTCGTTTGTATCACAAAGGCATTCTTTCTATATTTGTGCCGTTAACATGAGGCCATTGTTCATACCAATTGTGCTGATATATTTGCAGATTTGTGCATTTATTCAGCCAAAGTGGCCGTTTGAATTGATCACTCATTTGCATCAGCTTGACCTGAGTCACACTTTGTGTCAGGCTTGCCTCTTCGTTTGAGACTTGAACATGACATCCACAAGAAGATGGTGTGCACCCTACCGCCTCTACGTCTGACCGCGGACATCCGGACCTAGTCTCATGTGCCGAGAGTTGGGTTCCAAATGGTCCCGTGACTGAGGGATCCAGTACATCGTGTGAAGCCAGGTGCAAACGACGTCAGTGGTCAAGGCGGGACGTGTATTCTGCCAGATTGCATTGCGGGTTTTCATGAACCTCTACCAACAAATAGGCAAGTCTTGCTCTCTGCTCTTCGCCGCCATTTTGCTGATGTTTGTGACATTGTGGCGGCGTTTCTCTGCATCGGCTAAGGGACCCAATGGCTGAGGGGTCAGTTGGCGAGCAGTGGTTCTGACCTAGGCCTAATATTTATGGGCTACACAATTCGTAGGCTCATCCGATCATGACAAGACTTGCCTTACCCCACGACCCCTATTGCACTTAATTCGGCCCGTACTGTATGCCCCTTTTTGGACCGACCATTGCAGATTCAAGTCCACTTCAAGGGTTTCTCTTGAAGGGTTCAATTTGGATGGGCAATGCCCTTTATTTATTCTTGGGATCAGCTAGTTTCACACCAGAGGGCAGAAAGTCATATATTCTCCTCTCATGTGGCTGAGGTTGCGCACCTGTGCACTGGAATTGCCTTCTGAACCTGTTGCGTGCCTGCTTCGTTTTGATTTGGATGGTGCATCCTTTCCGAGTGGTCGTTGTGTTTTCGACTACCATATCGGAAAACGGCGTGGCCCCTAAAGCATCTACCTGGATCCTAGTGGGTAAAGTGGCTGGAACAAAGTGGCTACTTGGGGATCCAGGTACAAAGTGTAGGATGCCTCTTGGAGTATGCCAAGAAGCTGGTCCCAAAAGAAACGGAGGCAACAGGGCAGCCAGGAATGCATGGTTGCCGGTCGTCGAACATGGACACTTTTTTCGAGACTAGCGCCATCCCCAAGCGAACCTGGGGTACACTTGGTGTGCAGTGGTTGAGCCCATTTCCCTTGGGACTTGACATGCTTTTGGACTTGCGCCCGTTCCTACAGACTTTGTACGCGATATGCCCTGAGGATCAGGGCAAGGCCCTGTAAGTGCCAACCATGGTTCAAGCATGGGTGTTGGGTTTAGACAGCAGGGCCGTAGGAAACCCATGAGACATCATGAGACCATGTACGAGCTTTGACCATGGCGAGGTGGCTCTCAATTTGATCAGTTGATTGAGAGCAGCCTCAAAGGCTTGGTGGGCAAACATCCCGGATTGTGCACCTATGTTCAGAGAAATTTCTTGCCGAGCCGACTACACTACTTGAGGTTCATACCTGTTCACACCCAGCCGTTTGCCCTTCTTGGCCACATCTTCCAACGGGCAACTCTTCGAGGCCCCAGGCGCAAGAGGGGGGGTCTGGGGACGCCTGGGAAGGTACCCGTCCAACAGGCTCCTCTTCAGGCCAGTCGATGGGCGTTCCTTTGTTTTCGGGCTGTTTTTGTGGTGGCACTGTTCCTTTTGGGCTGTTCCTTTGTTTTTCCTTTTCAAAACAGTTGGTGCCCTGTTTTGGGCTGGTTTGAAAGAGCGACCAAGAGGGAACCGCCCTTTGGGGGATCTCCACATTTGGAGACAAGCCAGGGTTGACATGGGAATGCTGATTCGCCATCTTTTTGTGCAAAAGCACGCTTTGAGGATTTAACAAACCAGCGGTACATGTTGAAACGCAATAAAACTGCTCCTTGGGTCGCACAGGGTCTTGTCGGTGGGGCAAAAGCACCCTTGGAGGGTTTAACAAACCAGAGGTACATGTTGAAACACAATAAAACTGCTCCTTGGGTCGCACAGGGTCTTGTTGGTGGGGCAAAAGCACCCTTGGAGGGTTTAACAAACCAGCGGTACACGTTGAAACACAATAAAACTGCTCCTTGGGTCGCACAGGGTCTTGTTGGTGGGGCAAAAGCACCCTTGGAGGGTTTAACAAACCAGCGGTACACGTTGAAACACAATAAAACTGCTCCTTGGGTCGCGCAGGTTTTTTTTCTGTGGGCGAATCGATTTGGACTTGAATTGTAGCAACTGCTCAATCAAAAGTGAAGCTATGTTACCAATTTGGGCAACACATCAGCTTTCAAACCACATTGTTCGGAAGGGCCCTTTCAAGTCATAAGGTCATGTAGATTGTAAGTTATCGTTTTGCTTCCGTGTTGTGAGCTTCCTCCGGGCCAATGTTTGAAGATGATACCATACGTTTCTGTACACAATCCAACTGTTTAGAGGGCTGACAAAATATGCGAGCACGTTTGGGTCGACTCCCGTTGGTTCGACTCAACCGGCCCAGCTAAGCCAGACAGACCAAAGTAAAACCCAGATCCATGTGCGATTTCTCCCAGTGAGTTTTCTAGGGGGGGTCATTTTGGGATGGAAGTTGGCCGATGAGAAGGCCGAGAGAAATGAATCAGAGGCCAGGATAAGTAGCTGCTTCAGCATTGTCTTGAGGTCATCCTTGCTTGAGCATTGCGCGGTACATTTCTGTGGCCATGGGTCAAAATCCCGTACCCCCAGTGAATATCCCAATCCCCACTAAAGTGGGTTCTAAAATGGGTGGTGCACCCCAAAATGGTACAGTACCATTGGTTTTAACCCACAGCCATGTGGCAGCTACTTCCCAGCTTGCAAAAGCTCTGTGTAAGAGGCCAGATGGATCTTATCGCCTCAAAGACCCAGGCTCTCTGGGTCCGTTCTTCCAGGGACTTGCAGATGACCGGGTTTTTCCCTAGGGTCGTTCAGTCCTTAACCATTTACCAGGAGACCCAAAACCGCTAAAAATGCCATACCTCCAAAAAGCAGGATGTTTTTGCTGGAGACACGAGGATTTCAGATTGAGTCTCTAGATAGGTGTCGTTTGGTTTCTGCTTGGCGCGGAGTTCTTGGCTTAGTGCCAGGGCAGCCGAAGCTAGAAACAGGTCGAGATTGTCTCTGGATTTGTTTCTCGTTGATGTCGGGCTGTGTAGAGTTCTTGGGTTTGGGCTCAGAGGTTTGCTTGCTGGCTTCTCCATTCCCCGGAAAGGAGACAAAGAAACTTCCTACAGGAATCAAAGAGTGCCATGCAGACCTTGGATCTTTCCCAATGGAAGATGCCGGTGAATTGTAGGGCTTGTGGGATGGGAGCAGTGCAAACCCATTGAGAGGTTTGATTCTCACGGAGCTAATGAGGCAACCTCGAAAACAGGTGATACTCCCGTGTGATTCTCTTTGCAGACAGAGCCAAAAGGGGTCCATGAACAGAATTTCCGATTTTCCGCCGTCAGAATTTCCTTGTTACTTGGGCTTGGTAGGGATGCTCATGGACCTTTCAGGATTTTAGGCGATGAGGATTTCTATTGAGGGAACCATGGCTATCCATCTCACGGGCAAAGGGCTTCGATCGAAGCCAGGTTCAACCGACTCCCGTCCAGGTGGGACAGACATGGGATGCCACCCCCCCCCCACTTCCACCAAACGACTCTTCCGACCACCTTATATAAGGAGCTGAATGATTTCCACTCGTTTGTTTGTTGGATGCGTAAATTGAGCTGTTTGAATCCCTCGCAACCCCATTTTAATAATCTAGGTCCTTGTGTTCGGCCTTAGGGCCCGGAAGGAGCTCTTTGGGGGTGAAGCCTTGAAGCGAAGGGGGGGGCTGTCTGGAGCTGTAAACCCCGAGTTTGACGAAGTCTTTCAGGCTGGTGTTGTCAATTTGTCAATGTTTTTGCGAGAAGCCTTTTGGCCACTTCCCTTCAATAGGCCGACAGAAGCCGTGAGGTGGATCATCCAAATTGCTGACCAGTCTCCGCATAAGGTACAAGTGTAACTGGGAGAATTTCACAGACCACCCGTCTCTCAGCTGCAAAACTAAGTTGCCCGACACCCTTCACAAGATTTCCCTTCGCAACATCTTCATGTTCAGGTGTCCAGGGTCCCCGATTCCAAAATTTGGACCGCCCAGAGGTATGCGGCCATTTAGATTGATCCCCACCCCGGCCCCAATCCCCTGCAAAGGGATTGGAAGCGCGTGTTTGTGAGGAAGGGACCCTTTCTCATACATGTTCTTCCAATGTGGTTACAAGGGATCCCTGGGGCAGTGTTGTGCGGAGAAGGGGGAAAGTTTACCCCACGCTTTGCCCGGTAGGTGTGATGTACATACTGTGGATGGACGAAATCCTGCACCATTTAAGAACCATGGTTGCACCTTGGTTTGTTAGTATTTACAGGAGAATCTTCAGAAACCAGGGGGTTCTTAGGCGGTGCCTGGGAGGATTTCGTCCATCCACAGATTGGCTTGAGATGAGTTCCATTTTCCGGCACTGGTTTGAAGCCAGTCGAGCTCCCGGAAGGAGCCAGCTTCCCCAGGATTGGGAGCCTGTGGCCTTTGGGAGCCGTGTTCTTGCAATTTGGCCTCAGCGATTTGTTGGTTTTACTTGACCTTATCTAGACTAAGTCCCCCAGCGTCTTTAGGGTAGGGTGGCTTCAATGGAGGCATGTCCGTCGGCATTTGTCCTTCCGGTCTGGAAGGGGTGGTTTCTTCTCCACCTCTCTGATCTCTGCAACGTGTCAGCGGCAACAAGTCCTACAGGTAGACAACGAGCGAGGCGAAGACCCAGGGAACTCCCGAACTTCCTCTGCCAAGCCCTTGGAGAGACGCGAGAAGCGGCACTCGGAGCTTCTGAAGCTGGATCCCTCGAGTCCCACCTGGGTCTCGCGGCTGTCCAGAGAGCATTCTGCGTGAAATTTGCGGGAGCAAAGAGCTTGAAGCGAGCGCTCCGTCCAACTTTCAATTGTTCTTGGCCAGTTTTGGGCAAAGCTACTCGTGATTTGTGACGCGTCTGCGAGTTTTCGGGGCTCAAGGGAACCCGCCCATTTCGCTTGGCGTTTCCCAGTTTGACACAGACCAATGTGGTTTTACCGCGCAAACCGCAAGCTCCAGCCAGGTGCAAGCTCCTGTCGCGCGGGCAAGATGTTTTTTCTTTCGACACCCGGGTTGCTTCCTGGGTCTGCTCACGCAATCTGTATGTCTATACGTACACAAATATCGGTTTGATGCAAACATGTAAATACGCATATTAAACAATAAAATAATAGAAGTATAGAAGTGTGTGTACATATATATATATATATGTATATGTACACCCCTTTACATTTCCCCCATTATATGAGTGAGCTCCGCACGCAACAGTCTTGCCATGTTGCATGCTTGACGGTGTTGCTTGGTCCAAAGCGGCTGAAGTCAGCCAATCATATCCCCCCCGTTTTGGAGATCGTTCAAAACAGGAGCAGAGTCTGTTGCCGTTTTCTCAATGGCCCAAAGCGAATGGACCTGAAACGACCTGCTGGCTTGCCCTCCTTCGAGTTTCTTAGGTCCTATCTTAGGTCCGCTTCCGGTTCCTTAAGGGAATCCTTTGTCACGAGCTAGACCTGCAGTTTTTTCTGATAGTGGCTCTTCGCAAGTGGCCATCTTTTTCGCAAGTTTGTTTTTACAAGGGCCAGAAGTTGTTTGCACTTGGAGGCTCCTGCGATTCAGCAGCCAGCACCAGTGGCTGGAATTGTCAGAAGCCCAGAGTTTCTCCTCAGTTGGATTGATAGAAAAATTGGGTCCCAGCCTCCGTGGTGAGGGCTCATGGGCCTTATGTTGTACTGGTGGTGTGGGGGGGAGTGTTGGATCGTATTAGACGATTCGGGGAGCGCTGTTTCTTGTCCTCCGCGCCCCAAGCATGTATCACCCTCGCCCACCTCGTCAAAGGGGAAGCTTCAATACCTGTTGCATGTCAACAAATCGTGCAACTATGTTCAGATGCTATTGGCCATGTGACGAACACGTCAGGCTGCCTTCAGTGGATCAGCGACATATGTCGCACGAGTCGCACGAGCATGAGCACGCGCATGTTGCAGCGACCTACATCATGGATTCACGTAAAGCTCCAAATCGACTCCAACCAATTGCAAGGTTGACTACAACAATCCACAGTCACTTGCTACCTTTGAACACATAGCATCCATGTCATGCAGCCGTATCAACCGAATACTTCCAGAGAGGGTGGGTAGGGACTCGTAGGACTTCCACATGAGAATCATTGTCTCAGTTCCTCAATGGAGTCGGGACAACATGATCTTGGGTGCATTTTGCCAAGGGATGTTAGGACTAACTTTTGGCCAACTCATGGGTTTTCCGTATTAAACCACTGAAAGTTAGTCACTTTTAGCAGAGCAGATTTCGCCACCGAAGGCTAAGTTTGCTTGGGTTCCTTCAGGAAACGGATCGAGATTACCGGCCCAGTCTCTGGGCTCCATTGAACGAGTTGGTGAAAAAGTCCTTCGCTTTTTGGTTTCGATCTTGATCCCAAGAGTTCTCTCTGCTTTTTTGCGCTCGGGCTCAGGGCTTGAACTCAAAGCTACCTTGTGAACAGCTACCAGTTCCATCGCACAAATCGGTGGCCTTGTTGAGGGGTCAAAGACCAGCCCAGAGTGGCAACTTTTGCCTGAGCCTAGGAATTGTCATCAAGTTTTGACGGCGAATGTGCTCGGCACCAGACGAGTTCCAAGTTAAAGACCACTGTGCGATCGGCTCACCTCTTTGATGGGACCACTGCACCGGGAATGTATTCGAGATGATTCGATTGGCGGAAGGTACCATGACCCTGGTCATCACAGGTTTGTATCCGAAAGGGGGAATCCCCTTCAATGGTTTCGTTGTTAAGCAGGCCACAATTGCGCACCCTCCAAAATTGACAAACTCCCACAAGAATCTTTGACCGCTTGTGATCGAGTCGCATACCACTCGCGTCCTGTTGCTGGACAGGTAAGGGCCGTTGATCGCACAGAGGAGGCGAGGCGTGCAGATGTGCAGCCGAGATCCGTTCGCGGAAAGTATCCTGGGTAGCAACATCAGGGTGTCCTAACATGGGATTTCATGGGATCCCCAACAGACAACTAGCAGTTTTTTAGGGGTCTCGTGTTGCAGGCCACGCCTGGTGAACTTTGCAGAAAACACAACCTCTCGTCGCCTGGGGAAATATGTAAGCTTTTGGGAGGTCGAAGACCAACCAGTAACCATACCAAAGTAGGTCCCTGGCCTTTATAGGTTGCACCTTCCAGAGGATCTGATATCACAGGCGTAACCCCAACCTTATTTGTCCACCGTACTTGCCAAACAGATTTGGCCCGTTTGACCCAATCATGTGCCGTTCCTAAACTCAGTTGTTCAGTGGCACCCTTTTTCCATTTTTTTGATGGCCAGTCTTCCCCAAAAAGGGTTCCCTTTTTTTCCCAGGGTCACTGAACAACTGAGTAAATGGAGTCGGGACCACATGAGAATCATTCTCTCAGTTCCTCAATGGAGTCGGGACCCCAACATGATCTTGGGTGCATTTTGCCAAGGGATGTTAGGACTTTACCTTTTTGCCAATTGATGGGTGTTCCGCACTAAACCACTAAAAGTTAGTCACTTTTAGCAGTGCAGAAAGCAACCGCGTGAGAATCATTCTGTCAAACTGTCAGATGTCTCGTTCGCCGATCTCGGCCTCCGGACCGTAAGGCGGAGAGGGGAGAGTGGTTCACCAGACCGGACCCAAAGGGTTCCCAGGGCTCCTTCCAAGATACATGTCTTGACTGCTATTGGGCAAGGGATCTTGAGACTTTCACTTTTTGGGATATTTCAAGGTGTTTTCCACGAACCCCCCAAAAAGTTAAACTTTTCAAGATGTTGCAGCCATTTGAAACATGTTGCCTTTTCAACACCAAACATAAAGTTGGGTGGCCCAGCATTTACAAGTTGCAATGGTGTTTTTCATGCATCCGGATCCCCGTTTCCTTGTGAAAGGCCACGCCACGGAACAATGGCCCGGCCGAAGCTACCTCCGCTTCCCCTGAAACTGGCATGTGGTGTGGGCATTCATTTTTGGCAATCAAAAGGAGTAAGGTGTCGGTTTCAAGTAACACAGTGCCATTGATATGTATCGAAACATCTCAAACATAAAGCTTTGCAACGAGTCCAAAGCGTTCCTTGTCCGATGGATCGTCTTGCAGGTGTAGCAGTTTACCTTCCGTGGGATCCCAATTGGGGGGGGGTCCTAATGGAATCTGCGTGGGAACCCTTGGCAGGACACGGATACGGACTCCACCGTCACGGCAGAGTCGGACTTGGAGATCTTGGAACTCAAGGCGCGAAAGTCGCGGTTCGGTTCATTTGGGGCCTCACAAAACATCCATATCAGCTTATCGTTTCTTTTTTTGTTTCTCGGGGGGGGGACAAGCAACTTCAACGCCTCCGGCTCAGACCGCCTCCGGCTCAGCGTATTGTGTGTTTGTTTGTGTTGTGTTTGTGTGTTTTTTTTTTTGGGGGGGCAACAAGCACCTATTTGGGGCCAGAGACGTGCTTTCAATTTAGAGGGAAGATTAAACTCAAGGCAAAGATCAAGTTGAGCTGCTATTTTCAATCACGTATGGCTCAGCAATTGTCAAACCCAAGGGTTCTGCTGTCTTCATCTAGCAGAAGATACCTTTCAGGTCGCTGGCTGAAGCTGGTATAAAGTTCAATAAAGTGACATATCTCTGTAGCGAGCTGATCAGCGCATGTTGTGGCCATCGTCAGCAACAGCAGAAGCTGACGAACTTTGGCATCAACTGTTTTTTTTCTGTATCTGCATGCTGTCTAAACATGGGCTCCAGTCAGAAAGCAGGGATGTTCTTGTTTTTCGAGGGAAAGCATTTTGGGGGCTTGCCCTGTTTGGAGACACACCCACCGCTACCTGAGAGTGGTAGATCAAGTATATCGAGGTCAATGAGGATTTGTTTGTGTTGCTCGGAGTTCTGACAGTGACCCTAATCGTGTCCTTTCAAGGCAAGTGGATGTTCCGTTCCCCATGAGGCGGCAGAAGAGCAGCGCCCGAAACCGACCTTTTGACCACCCGACTTGTTCAAGATTCCAGGTTTTTTGGGCGAGTGAGCAAGTGATCAGTGCCCAACAAAAACAAACGCCAGCGTGGGGAGTTTGGTGGGGCCTAACGCGCTACATATAGCAACAGTCAATGTGTTTCAAGGGCTTGCAAACCGCCGAGCAGATTGAGAGCTTCTCCAGGGTCTGGGGCTCGGTGTTGGAGTTGCTTGGCTTGGGCCGCCCACGTTGGCCCGGAGGGTCACAACGGTGCAGAAGCACTTGCGGTCAGAGTTGTTTTCAGGTGCCACGTACCTGTTCTCTTCCGGCGAACCTTTGGCTTGTTTCGATGCGACAGTTGAGTGCGACCCCTTTGACCGAATTCGGTCAGTCAAAAGCGATTCAACACCATTTCCAGTCATCAAGGATTTGCAGCAGCCCCTGTTCAGAGGCCGGTTGCTGATTTGACTTTGTTGGCGGTGTTTGGATAAACCGGGTGTTAACATGTGTGTGTGTGGGTTTGTGTTCGTGGTTGAGGGTTGTGTTCTAGTGAAGCCAATCGGAAGCAACCCGGTGCAGCCCCACCATTTGGAGACAACTCCATGTGTCCAAACCGGCTTGACAAGCTTGTCTGTTTGCATCATTGTATGAGGGAGAGCAGTGTCGCCCTGCTTGGCGGGTAGGGCCAGGGAAACCTTAAAGAAAACGGACAAGGAAAGAAGGAAAGAAAGAAAGAAAGAAATAAACAAACAAACAAATAAAGACATAAGTTCACAAGGACAGACAGAGCCCAAGTAGGAAATAACCACATACAACAAGCACACGCCAAGAGAGAAAGCGATAAATCAGGAAAGCATTGACAGAAGAATGGACAGAATAAAGAATGGGAAGAAAGACGGACAGAAAGGAAGAAGCACAGGAACAAAACAGCAATGTGTATATAAATGCGAGATAAGTACTAGTGAGAGCAATGCAAAGTATTGAAACAACGACACAACAGGAGTTCGGATATTGTTGGAAACGCCTAACACAAGTTTGTCCACGGAACCAGGGCTGGGCATGGTATAACAGATCGAGCGCAAGATGGGCTTGGTCGATTCAGGGGTTGAGCGCTTAAGCCACTTGCTGGATGCTGTGAGTTGTGAGGTCTTATCGTTGAGCGAGGTTATGCTTTTGCGAAACAATTAAGTACAAACTGTGTCACGACTTTTGGCGCTGTTCCCCTCCTAGACAGGGTCAATGTGGCTCGCAATACTTAATGTACGCAAGGGGGCGCACCGTTTCGATCGAGAGATCTTCACCCACTACTCATCTTTTTGCAGGTACAACGTATGGAGTGGGGTTTGCTCCACGCTGCCCCTGGGGATGAGGGAGGGTGCATGCTGGGTCTTTCTTCTCAAAGATTCTTTCCCGCAAATCACATGGAACATGGAGGTTTCAATCTCCTGCTTTTTGAGGAAATTGCTACACATTAGTTTGTGCTCCTGAAATGTTGAATCTCTCCTGGCAAAGTGTTTGCACTCCTGGAATATTGATAGCGCCCCGTCGTGATCGACGTGCGTTTAAGTTGCATCCTCAAAATCTGCTACTGGCTGGGTATCCTGAAATCAAGCCAGGGAAGCAAGGGGGAAGAAGACAGCAGGCTGTTTCTAGTCTATCTCCAGGTTTCCGGTGACGTAGTCAATTGATTTGCCCAGTTGGCCCCAAATCAAGAAAAAGCCACTTTGAACTAAAGGCCGACGAACAGCCAAACATGCACAGACACACGCAAACGCGGGAAAACACGTATTGTCTTCTTCTTTTCTGGAGAATTGGGAATACGGAATTCCGAACCAATTTCGGATCATGCCTGAGATAATTCGATTCGACGGGCAGCAGAGAGGTGCTGGGCAAGAGAATGCATCAGCATCACTCACCAAATTCATGTCTCACACAGGCTCCGGTATGCGCTCTGGAGATTCCTTCCACGCGCTTAGTGATTGAATGCTGGAGATTCGAAGTGTATTGCGCCTGGTCATTTACCGCCAACTGAGTTTCATGGACATGAGTTGGAAACCGGAAGGTCTAGGTGAGGGATTGGTTTATCCGTAAGCTCCAAGTTGGGTCAGGACCCATCAGGACCCTGCGAATCCTACCCCAAGACTGTTTTGTTCACCATCATTTGTCCTTTTAAGAGGCCCAGCCAAACAGATTGGGCCCCTTGGAGGTGCAGCCGAAGAAGTCGGCAGCCCAGGGGAAACAGAGCCAGGCATCCCTGCAAGGGATATGTGGAGTGGCACAAGGTGTGAACGAGGCTTTAGGACAAAAACATTCACCAGGAACCCCCAATGGCTGGCAAATGGTCTGTGGAATGACCTGTTCATGGCTGGGCTGTTTTGGGGTTATTTGCCAGCCATGGGGGGGTCCTGGCAGAGGTATTCCCGTTTGGCACATGAGGGTTTTGGTTGCGGCTCAACACTTGCTTAGTATTGCTGGAGCGGGCAGGAGGCCCCTGAAAATGAAGTCTTTGGTCCAAAATTGGGGGCCTGAATACTACCTACTCCCTTTGCGGGTCTGATTGCGGGCAGTTGAACAAGATACATATAAGAAAGCATGAGTCTTGGGAAGCTGAACATTTTGGACTTTGGGAAGGCCCAAATGTATGAAAGCCAGGCCTGAAGCTTCACCATTGGGCTGTCGAATCATTGATCTAGCCAAGAGGTATAATTTCACTGGGCAAGTTGTATCGTTCATTTTGCTTCTCAGTGGGTCGGGAGGGGGAGGAGGGGTGCTTGCTTTTATTCAAGGCGTCTTTGTTCTCGGGCCAGTGTCTTTATCTCAGACTCAAGCTTTACTCCTAGGTTGACTGCACCTACCAAGACCAGGAGGAATGGCCTCGCAGGTTGCACTTTGATTTTTCAACGAGAGCAACGTTTCATGAAGATCCAGACATCTTGTGGCTCATGCCCAGTTGTGAGGCGGTAGTGTTTCCCCTGTTGTTTGGTGAACTCCCTGGAAACATGAACCCCAAAAACGGTTTCCCTTTGTCTACCAGGGTCACAGGGCAAATGGGGTTTCTTCACGCGGGGAGCAATCAACCACTTCACAGAAGAAGATCCTGTTCCACCACCATGCTAGGCAGTTGAGGAGGACATAAATTAGATACCCAGAAGGCTCCTGGGACTTTCAATGGAAGACCCGACCTCTTTATTAGGCACCCCAGAGATGTTTGGGGGTCTCAACACCTGGCTGTTTGAGGGCCCGAAATTCTTCGGGAGCCTCCGGGTAGGAAAATCAATATTGCGTATGTCTTGATACCTTGTGGTAGGGAGCCTCGGGAAGGTTGGTTGCGTCAATAGCCAGCGACCTGGTTTGAGCTTGAGCCCCAAGCATTCTGAATATCCTTGGTCGTCCCATGTGCCAGTTGGCACATGTTCGCAAGTTGTGATATATATATATATATATTTGAGTGATATGTATTTTTGCTATTTGTTGCTTGTGGTTCTTGGTTCGTGTTTTTTTTTTTTTTTGCAAACAGATAGTTGGGCACTGGAGGCAGGGACCCATGTAAGCTATGAAGGGCTCAAGGGTCCTGGGTCTCTGCGTGAAGCAGGGTTTAAATGCCCCACGCATTGCTTTTCGGCATCCATTGGTGACCCAAATGATAAACAACCATTTGAGAGGAGCGTCCTGCACTGGTGGAGGAAGCACTCCAATCAGTCAGTCCGTGATCTGTGTTTATCCAGGTGTACAAAATAAAAACAGAGCCCTAGTGCCGATGTCTTGTTTGCTGCATCCCAAGGTCACTTCTGAGGAAATGATGCAGCGAACTGCTGCAAGGCCCGAGGTGAGCGCTGAGCGTTGACCAAGAAGAGGGTGCCTTTACGACACGCTCAAATTGTCAGCCAAAGCTTTGCCATGAGGGGTAAAGGGAACCTTTATAAAGCGGGCCCTTGACACTTGCCGATATACAGGACCCTAATTAATGTTGACCCAGGATTAATAAACCCGTCCCATGATTAGGGGGGTGTTCTCTCCAAAAGTGATGAATCCTCACTAAAAGGGGACACCCTGTTTATTAATCCGGGGTTCAACATTAGTGTTGAGGTGAACGATTTCTTACACAAAGGCGAACCTGAAATGCAGCTCGAAATGTGTGATGCCAGAGGACTGCGTTGCTCATGAGGTGTGGTTTGAACGTCCCAACCACCAGCAGAGTTCCCTTTGTGCAAGACCATCTTTCATAGGATCCCCGATCCATGCTTGAGCCCCAGTTCCCCCAAATTCTTAGCGCCCAAAAGCAGATTCTTCTAAAATATGATGCTTCTTCGGGGGTTCATGTTAATTTGCAGAACTGTGAGGTGCAGCCATGGCCTTGCGGGGACGAGTCCTTGTGGGCCGGCGGTGCTTGAAGGACGATATCACTTGACCCCAACGAAAGCCTCGGTCAAGCCAATCTGAACATCACTTGTTAGCCAGTTTTAGGTGACCCAGTTGCCCAGCGGATTCCGCCCCCTTTTTTTCCCTTTTTGTTTGGAGGAGAGGGAAGGGTTCCCTCTAAACTCAACCAACCAAAAAACGGATGCCTTTTGTTTCCCCATGGAAATCCACTGGGCATCTGAGGTGAGTTTGGCAAGGTGAAAGGGGAGAACAATGGGATGGTCCTTCAAGCCAACCGGCACGCTAATGCTTCGCGCGTACCAAATGATGGGAGAAGCTTGGTGGCGCTGTGAGAGAAACAAAAAAGGAAAAAAGACAAAACGTGGGCGAGGTGGCTGCTTGGCCGAAAGTCGGACCCACCTGACATGCCCGGAGCTGCCAATCTAAATGTTCGGGCTATACTAAAGGGGAAAATGATGTGGCTCCGGCTTTCTTTGTCCAAGTGTGGCGCCTCTGATGAAAAGGACGGGAAGACAACTACTAGGTTACATCGAAGAGACACCAACTAAGTAGTCCGGACAGCTTGTAGCCTCACCCTTCGAACGCGCAATGCCCTAAGTAAGAGAAACGCACGCTAACCACACAACGCAAAACCAATGAGTCACTTGCGCTCAGCGAGCGCCCCGCCCCACACCCTTCCCGAATAGTTTGGGGGTAACAAGTTGGACAAGGCAGGCGAAATCACAATTGTGAGGTTTTTGATCAAATTTGTTTGTCGCCTCAAAATCGGACCTGGGGGTAACGGGCAAAGCGGCAATTTGACTGGACAGTGCCGGAGAGTTTTGGTATATCAGCCAGCAATGAAACATCTAACCCGATTCGCCGACTCGCAACCTTCTGCAGCCCACCGAACCGGAGATATACCAAATTTGCCCACTGGCACAAAACACAAAGGTCCAGTCATGTGGGCTTGCGGGGTTGGACACGTACGCGATCGTGCAGCTGTTTCGTTTTGGCGATCGCTTGGTGGCAGCCAGAACGGGTCCAAATTGGTTCTGGCTTCATGTCAGCAGCAAGGCTTCCGTTGGCATCGTGGGTAATCGAGAGTTTGCAACGACCTGGACATTCCGTTGCGTATTTTCCCGGAGCGTTTCACGATTTTCGGCGTGTTTCGGCGGTTTCGGCGGTTTAGGTATTTTGTGAGGATGTGCCTTTTGTTTGCCGGTTTTTGCGGGCGCTGTGCGGCTTTCGCGGGCGTTGCGCGGCCATTTGCGAGTGTTGTTCACTGCTGAGGCGTTTGTGGCAGTTTGCGTTGCAAACGAAGGGAAAACGGAACTACAGGAAAATAGTCCACATTAATAGTCCACATTGGAATGTCCAGGAAATCGCTTAGCAGACAGGATCAGGAAATGGCCGTGCATTTGCACAACTTCGTTCATCGATGTCAGAGCCCACCATATTTGTACGTGTGCGTGACATGTCATATAGGGTGTTGCTCGTTGCCGAACATTCGCACGGTCACCTGGATGTTCTTCTTACAGTATTACAGCGGGTAGGTAGGTTATGCCACCTAGGATAAGAACTGGGATCGGGATAAGTACCTCTTCAGATGAGCCCAGAACCTTGCTAATTGGATGCTCAGATCAGGTCCAGCCTGTTTGAGGCCAAAGTGCCAAATCTCGAAAAGCCAACAAAGACCTCAAAATGGTTGGGAGTGGCTGTCTGTGGGATCTGTGGGATCGCGATTGTCTTTCTCGGGCTCCTGGCACAGACATGAGGCGGATCTCTCTTGCCGTCCGAATGTGGCTCCAGAACTTCACATTCTCCTCAATGGCGTGAGTTGCTTCGCACCCGCGAGCAGCCGCAGTGCCGCTGGCTGCATGGTGACGTAAAATGGACCTGTGTTGTGTAATAATATGGGGGGGGGTTCCGAACCCTCCAAAAGTGATGGATCCCCACTAAAAACAGGGACACCCCCCATATCAATAAACAGGGCTTTATTAATCCGGGGTCAACCTTAGATCGTTGCAGAGGGTTCAGGAGTGCGATCTTGTCAGGGAGGTTTGTTGCCTCGGTACTAAAACACATGGAAGCTCCCCAGTCAAACCCAGTCCCAGAGAGTTCATCCCCCAACCTTCCTGCAGGCGGGGGGGTGGCTGGGGAAAGGGGGCGGAACCCTCAGTTAGATGCTAAGACCTGAGAGAAGGGGTGAAGAAACAGGGGAATCAATCATTCGAACTCGAAATCCGAGCCCTGATAAAGCTTGCTTCCTAAGTTCCTGGGCTTTATTGGAAGAACATTTGAATGAACAAACTTGCTGGTGCTCAGCAGGGAATGAGAAATGGAATGATTCTTATAAACCATCTCTTCTGGCTTCCTTTAAGGGAATCCCTGGCTTCATTCCCAGCTTCCCTGCCTATCGCACCAGCAATCCACTCACCGCGTGAGAGAAAGTGAGGTCCATGTCCTGCTGGCGCGGGGTGTGCCGGGCATGCCGTGGCCGCCCGGGCCTCTGAAAAGACTTACACGTTGGGCTCCTCTTGTTTAAGGTCTAGGTCCCGGGTTGCGATGAGCTTTGGTTGCCTAGGTCCCAGCATGCCCCAGCCAGGTGCCCTTTCTCACCCGTTTCTTTTTTGGCTGGGAGGGTTCCCCTAGTAAAATCGACTACCAAATGGAAGTTAATTCACAGGGCTCCTTAAAAGAGACATTTTGCCCTTTTGAAACATGGCTTTTGCCACCAAAATAGACCGAAAAAAGTGGGCACCGACTTATTCTAACCGCTCAAATCTGGACCTAGAGGTTGGGCCCCACAAACATGACGCTTTTCCCGCTTTTTTGGTGGGTGTCCTTCACCGAAACAGGTAATTTGCCCAGGATTTCTGCCACCCCGGGAACACAAACGGGAACTTTTGATTGTACAACTACGGCTTTTGTTTTGTGATTTGACCAATAACGGGAAACAAATTCTGCCCCTCTACATTTTTTTCGCTTGCCACACGTCTTAAACCATAACAGATTTGGCGTTTGGCGTTTGGGCTGTGCGGAGATTCCTGGAAGTCCCTCAGCTCCGGTGGAAGTTCCGTCGTCGTTAGTGCCCCTTGCTTGAAAGATACGAGTGCCAGGCATAAACTCGGCCCCCCAGCACTTGGTGCCCCTTCTTACCCGTTTCTTTTTTGGTTGGGAGGAAAACCCCCCCCCCTACCAAAATAGATAAGAAAGAAAAGTATGTTGGTACCAACTTATTCTATCCTCTCAAATCTGGAGGACCTGGTCAAGTTGCGCTGTTGTTATCAAAGCATATCAAAGCCTCCTGGCTCGGCTGCTCAGCTGTCATGTTGGCATGAATGCCAAGGACAAACACAAGCCGCAGCAATTCGCGTGCGAGGAAAACACATGAGTTGCATACGCTACGGCAGGCCCTGCTGCCTTCTGCCCAGCTTTGGAGCCTATCTGCGTCAGCTGTTTCCTTCGGAAGCTAGGCCCAAGAGACTTGATTCGCCACAAGTCAAAATCAAAACTGATGTTTAGGAGGGCACTGTGTCAATGCACCAACATCCATACCCTCAAAATAGGACATTGACATTTCGTGCGTGTGCTGTTGCTAAGGATAGTTGACGGCAAACATCGGTCATTCACAGCCAGCAACAGTGTGTCAACCCAAGAAGGCATACTTTCAATGAATAATTCTTGACCCAGCGCATCGTGTACCAGTTGCGCTTAAAGTTGAGGTCCTGCAGCAAGCAAACATTTTGTTTGTAAGCTTCGCTCGCAGCGCAAAACTGCCCCAACACCCTCAACAATGCAGCCAAAGTGACTGTTTTGTGGCATGCAGTTCTGCAAACAAAGCCGAGATTCCGGACATAAGCCATTTAAAGAACTGGGAGTCCTCGACCGTCCGTTCAACTGTCTATGGTCCGATTTTGGCAGGACCATTTGCTTGATAGCGACAGCTGAGGTTGGCAGAATAGCCTTCCAAGCTTGCCTGTGCTTGTATCAATAGTGGATGGTGGGCGTCAAAACCTTCACTTTGGCTGCAAAATTGGGGGTCTTGGGGCAGTTTTGCGCTGGGAGCGTGGCTTAATTAAAAAATTATGTGCTTGCTTCAGGACCTCGACGTGGCAACTGTTATTACATGTTGGGCTGAGTCGCATTAGTCAGATCACAGCTGAAGCAGCACAAAACTTCACCATCTAGAAGGCATGGCGAAAGGTTTCGCCCAGTAATCCCCAATTTGCTAAATATAGTAGGTAGCTTAAGGAAGACGTGTGGTGTGTTGTTTAGAGATAGAAACAATTTGGAGCACATGGGCAAAGGGCACAGAGCTGTGGAAAACTACGGAAACTGTCCTATCCCGCTGCTACAAGATCTGCAAAAGCTATCCTGTTCAAGATGGTGACGATAACTTTTCATTGAACGTATACCGTCTTGGACTCTACAGTCA